TTCCAGGTCTTGTTATTCTGTATTCTGTAAGTTTACCTGTAATTCCTAGTAGTTTGGTGAAGAGTTTCATTCTATGGTTCTCTAATGTTTCCATTTCTAAATTCAGGGATATCTTTTTCCTCACTGTGTGCTATTCCCTGGAGCTTTACATCACCTGCTTAGCAGTAATAATGTTCTCCTCTTAAATGTTTTATTAGATAGCTTTCTCTCAGCCTCATCACAGTGTGAATTCTTCCCTTCCCTTTACTCATTTATTATTACGCTGTTGTCATGCTCTTTGGAGGAAAAATAAAAGCTAATCAAATATTAGCGGATATGGATTAATGAAGGATGAAATAAGCCTTAAATCGAATGTCTCAGAATACAGGTAGTCCTTGTCTTATGACAATCAGGACCATAATTAACGTTGCTAAGCAGAGGATGTTAAGTGAGTGGCACCCAATTTTACCACCTTTTTTTGCCAGTTAAGTAAATCATTGCAGTCGTTAAGTGAATCATGTGGCTGTTAAGCAAATCCGGCTTCTCCCGTTGAGTTTGCTTGTTGGAAGCCCGCTGAGAAGGTTGGAAATGGTGATCACGTGACCCCCTGGGATGCTGCAACTGTTGTAAATACACCCGGATTTTTAAATGTCTACGGAGATTCTCCATCATCCAGGTCACGGTTGTCCCAAAGGTGCTTTTTCAAGAGGTAACTGGACTTTCTTTGGTTCTTCTTTGAAGTCGTTTTGCTTCTCATCCAAGAAGCTTCTTCAGCTCTTACTGGATGGTAGGGAATGGAAGGACTTATACTCCTTGCAGACTTCCACCCCCCCCCACACACACACATTCCAGTCAGAGCTGAAGAAGCTTCTCGGATGAGATGCAAAATGTCTTCAAAGAAAAACCAGAAAGTCCAGTTGCCTCTTGAAAAAGCACCTTCCGGACTCAAATTATTTATCACCTTACTGTGAAGATGCCATGGCAGTCTAAAGTCCCTGTGCCATTTACTGGCCTCCAACTTTTGAGTCTGGAACTAAGCAGGAAGAATGTAATAGATTAGAATAACAAAGTTGGAAGGGGCCTTGGAGGTCTTCTAGTCCAACCACCCCTGCTCAAGCAGGAGATCCTATACCATTCCAGACAAATGGTTATTCAATCTCTTCTTAAAAACTTCCAGCATTGGAGCGTTTACAACTTCTGGAGGCAAGTTGTTCCACTGATTAATTGGTCTAACTGTCCGGAAATTTCTCCTTAGTTCTAGGTTGCTTCTCTCCCTGATTAGTTTCCATCTATTGCTTATTGTCCTGCTTTCAGGGGCTTTGGAGAATAGCTTGACTCCTTTCTTCTTTGGGGCAGCCCCTGAGATATTGGAAGACTGCTATCATGTCTCCCCTAGTCCTTCTTCTAAAGAGAAGGACCAGGCGAGACATGATAGCGGTCTTCCAATATTTGAGGGGCTGCCACAGAGAGGAGGAAGGGGGTCAAGCTACTTTCCAAAGCGCCTGTAGGCCAGACAAGGAATAATGGATGGAAACTGAACAAGGAGAGCTTTAACCTGGAAATAAGGAGAAACTTTCTGACAGGGAGAACAATCAACTGATGGAGCAGAATTTGCCTTCAGAAGTTGTGGGACTTTCATCACTTGAGACTTTCAAGAGACCGGACTGCCATTTGTCAGAATTGGTGCAGGGTCTCCCGCTTGGGCGGGGGGTTGGGCTAGATGACCTACAAGGTCCCTTCCAACTCTGATTATCTGTTATCTATTATTTTTCAACAAACTAGACATACCCACTACCTGCAACCATTTTTGTATGTTTCAGCCTCCAGTCCCCTAATCATCTTTGTTGCTCTTCTCCACACTCTTTTTAGAGTCTCAACGTCTTTTTTACACTGTGGCGACAAAAACTGGATGCAGGATTCCAAGGCTGGCCTGACTAAGGCATTATAAAGTGGGATTAACACTTCACAGCAGGCCCTTCCTCCTCCTCCTCCTCCTCGGATTGCTCTCTAACTGCCAGCTGGAGTGCTCCATTCTCCTGCCATTCTCCCCGGTAAAAATTCTGCGATTACATATTGCAAAAAAAAAAAAAAAAAAAAAGGGATTGAAATAAAAGCTGTTATGCATTATGCTCACAAAAACAGCTCGGAAATGTCTTCTGCAAAGTTGGGAAACGCGGCTGGTTAGATGCCGTTTAATGGTGCACGCTTGGGAATGTCGAAATACGCTGCGGTCCCTTTTAAGTTTGCTGCTTGTAACCGGACCTGGGATCCCACATTCCAATTATTTATTTCACCAGGCTGATGATGGGTCTCAATGGACTCCTAAGAGCAAGTTGGAAATTTAGGCATCTGCTGAGAAGGATACTTTGTTTCTTGGCATACCAGCTGCTTCTTAAAAATTGAGAGGAAAAAAAGGAGGCAGGGACAAATGCTGGATCAAAATAGAGCCTTCAGAGCTCAGTGGGTACCATGGCAGGAGATCCCTCGGGCAAAATTGAGCTAACTGGACCGTTTGTGCGTTTCAAACAGCTTTCCGCGCTGCCAAATGGAGGCGAGTAAGTTTAGTCTGGAAAGAACGGTGCTAAATTTTCCTTTAATAGTCTCCTAAGAACTATATTCCAAGACTTTCAGCAAAATATTGCTGGAAAGAAAAACCAGTTGTGTTACAGAGCAATACACCCCAAAATCTTGAGCGTTGGCCGTTTGTTGTAGAAAGAAGTGGGGTGTTGGGAGAGAGGGATCTTTGCTTTCCTTCTTTTAATTATTAACATTAGTCTACGGAGGCCGGCTACAGAGGCCCATTAAACCAGGCTGTTCTGTTTTGCTTTGGTTTATTGAATGGATCCTGCACTATCAAAAACTTAGGCATGTTAAAATATTATCACTGTAGTAACTAAAATAGCATCCCTTTGGAGTAGATGTGGGGCATATGCGGGGGTGGGATTCAAATTTTTAACAACTGGTTCTGTGGGCGTGGCTTAAGTGGTGGGTGTGGCTTGGTGGTCCTGTGACTGGGTGGGCGTGGCTTGGGGGTCATGTGACTGGCTGGACGTGGCCAGCTCAACATCACTCACATCGAGGCACGCATCTCCTCGCCTGGCCTCTCGTGACTGTGGGGATGCTGCAACAGTCGTAAGTGTGAAAAATGGTCATAAGTCACTTTTTTCAGTGCCACTGTAACTTTGAATGGTCCCTCCACACAAGCAAAGTACCAGCAAAGGAGGGGAAAAAACTCCAGAGAGGTTCCTGAGACAGGAAGTCTAGTCCTGCCAAGAATGTAATAAGGGTTAACGGAGAGGCAGTTTCTGTAAGCAACACCAGAATGTTTCCTTCCTGACTTCTTTACAGGATTAGCCCAGTAATTTCTTCTCCGAACTGCTTAGAATGTTAACAACCGGTTCTAGCGAATAGGTGCAAACTGGTAGAATCCCACCCCTGGGCATATGGGTTACTCCTGGATTATTCTGGAAGGGATTCTATAGGGTAAGTCTGGTGTTACGTGTGCACGCAAACACACATACATGCACAGAGTGTCCCAAAGGGGCTTTTTCAAAAGGCAACTGAACTTTGTTTCTTCCTTGAAGATATTTTGCTTCTCATCCAAGAAGCTTCTTCAGTTTTGACTGAATGGCGGAGGATGGAAGGATTTATATTCCTTGCAGGCATCTGGTCGTTTGCACTGTCTCAGAGAGTCATTGAGGCCACTTGGAGGTTTATTTGTGCCCTCAGGACCACCTGAACAGTGTAAATGAGTGTGGAGCCTTCTTGGAACTGCTGAAAGGACCGTGTTGTAAACAGGAGTGAGGTGGTGTCACAGGTAAACTCCACGTGGCCTCAGCAGCTCTAAAAAAAGAATGTAAATGACCAGATGACTGCCAGGAATATAAATCCTTCCATCCTCCACTATTCGAAGAAGCTTCTTGGATGAGAAGTGAAACGTCTTCAAGGAAAAAACAAATCGAATTACATTTTCAAAAAGCACCTTTGGGACAACCACGATGTGATGACTGAGAATCTCCACAGGCAAAGTGTTTCAATTCAAGACCCTTTGGTGGAATTTGTAAATGTTCCTTTTTGGACATTTCAGGGCTGATTTTCTTATGTGGAATCGAGTGAATCTAGATCTTGCAACCTTGGTCATTCCAAATTAGAGATGAAAACAGGGCCGGCACGATTTGATTTTGAGACAGATCCTTTCAATGTTTCTAATGTGTCAGCGGTTCAGCAGTAGAACAGATTGCCTTAGGATGTTGCACTCTTCTTCCCTTGGAGTCTTTAAACAGAGGCCGGACAGAATTTGGCATGGATACGTCAGTTGGAAGTTTGCTCTGCCGTTTTATAATGACCAAATTAACCTTTTAAAAAATCCTGTGCTTCTCTGTGATGCTTAAGACATTTAATAAATTAAATTAAAGACCACATTACAGTCCAAGGCTTTCAAGAACAAAATAATGTACAGTAAAATCCATGGTTTAAACCAGCATGGATAAATATTGTAATTAGACACAACTTAAAAACCTTCCCAGATTATTTTGTCATATTCTTATTCCCTCCCATGGTTTCTGCTGGGCAAGTTATTTTATTTTATCATTCCATCCTTCTTAGACAAGAAAAAAAAAAAGAGCCAGACAGGAGATTCAGATAAAGTCCAAGATGAAGGGAAGGGAAGAGCTGGCGCCCCACCTCTTATTATTTTTGGCTTGAAAAAGTGGAACTTTGGAGACAGCATCCATGCTCCATATCTACCCCTTCCAGGGAATGCCTGAAAGCAGGCAGCTCAGGAAATAAGCACGAAGAACCAAAAATAAGCAAACGTAACATAAAGAAACGAGTAATACTGGTTGGAAACCACCCTTTTCTTAACTTTCAGTATGCAGCTTGACAGCTAGGCAGGCTACTTACATTACAGTTTAGTCACTAGTAGTTGTCTCTACTTGACTCAGAAAAGGGACGCTGAATTTTGCTTAAAGGGAGCAATTCCGTTTCTAATCTGTGTTGTTTTGAGGGGCCTTCTCTGGCCTTCAGAAAGTATGAAACTTGGGCCCCGCGGTCACTATAATGTCAGCATAAGGAGCTGATTGGGCCACCTCAATCGCTCTTTGTTTCTGTAGAACCAGCAAGCTGTAGAAGTTCTCTGCTGCTTCTTTCTTGTTCTGGTTCTTGCAGAGGGACAGAAAGCTGAAAGACTTTGCCCCTTGCTGTTCCGAGTGCTGCGGGAGAGAACGAAATAAATAAACAAACAAACAAACAAACAAATAAATAAATAACTGAGGCGGACGTATTCTGAGAGGAGGCTAATTCTGCATTTGGAGTGGACAATAAGCAGTTTTATGCGAGGGGCTGTGTGCCTTTGCCGGTTCATACAGACCAAGAACTGTCGATAGGAAAATGGGATAGAGAGTCTAAGATGGAAGAACAACTGTGCATAATTGGAAATAATGTCCTGTGTTGTCAAGCATGTAGCTACAAGGGGCAATGTAGCTACTACTGGCTAAATCCGCTAGCACCCTCTTGTCCTTCCAGAATGGCCTGAAGACCTGGCTCTGCCAATGGATTTAGGCAAAAACGGCTAATAGATTAGATCAACAGATTAACAGAGTTGGAAAGGGATCTTGTAGGTCATCTAGTCCAACCCTCCACCCAAGCAGGGGACCCTACAGCATTTCTGACAAATGGTAGTCCAGTCTCTTCTTGAAAGCCTCCAGGGATGAAGCTCCCACAACATCCGAAGGCAAGCTATTCCATTGGTTGATTGTACTCACTGCCAGAAAATTCCTCCTTATTTCTAGGACTTGAATCTCTCCTTGATCGGTTACATCCATCATTCCTTATCTGACCTTCAGGTGCTTTGGAAAATAGCTTGACCCCCTTCTCCTCTCTGGGGCAGCCCCTCAAATATTGGAAGACTGCTATCACATCTGCCCTGGTCCTTCTCTAGAAATATTGGAAGATGCTCTCCTGTCTCCCCTGGTCCTTCTCTCCCTAGACTAGCCAGGCCCAGTTCCTGAAACTGTTCATCATATGTTTTAGTCTCCAGTCCCCTCATCATCCTGGTTGCTCTTCTCTGCACTCTTTCAAGAGTCTCAACATCTTTTTTATAGTGTGGTGACCAAAACTGAATGCAGGACTCTAGGTGTGGTCTTACTAAGGCTTAAGAGTGGAATTAGCACCTCCCTTGATATTGATTGTATCCCTTTGTTAATGCAATTTAGGATTACACGGGCTTTCCCGGCTGCCACTGCATACTGCTGGCTTGTATTCAACTGGCCATCGACTAAGACTCCAAGATCCCTCTCACAGTTACAGTTGATCCATCTCTATCCTGTGTATGTTTTGGTCCAGTATGCTATCCATTGGAATGTTTTAATTTGTAATGCATAACATTTTAATATTTTTGTCCTAACTGTATTAAGTAGCTTATGGGGCTTCTTGTAGATAGTGCTAGACTTACGACCACAGTAGGGCCCAAGATTTCTGTTGCTAAGCAAGACAGTTGTTAAGTGACTTTTGCTCCATTCTATGATGTTAAGTAAATCAGTGCAGTTGTTAAATTAATACAGTTGTTACATGAATCACTGCAGTTGTTAAGTTAGCAACATGGTTGTGAAGTGAATCTGGTTTCCACGTTGACTTTGCTTGTCAAAAGGACACAAAAGGTGATCAATGATCCTAGGACACTGGCATCGTCATAAATATGAGTCAGTTGCCAAGCCTCTGAATTTCGATCAAATGACCATGGGGACGCTGCAACAATCATTAACTGTGAAAAACAATAATAAGTCACCTTTTTCGGTGCTTTCGTAATTTGGAACCGTCACATTCACAGTTATGACAGCACCGAAAAAGTGACATGACCATTTTTTTATGACTGTTGCAGCATCCCCATAGTCACATGATCAAAATTCAGACACTTGGCAATGGAATGTATTTATGGTATTTGCAGAGTCAGGTGATCACTTTTTGGGACTTTTGGGAAAAAAAGAAAAGAAAAGAAAATGGAGAAGCCAGATTCACTTAACAACCCTGTTTCTAACCGTAGTGATTCTCTTAACAACCGTGGCAAGAAAAGTCCAAAAATTGAGCAAAACTCACTTAACAACCGTCTGGCTTAGCAGTGGAAATTTTGGGCTCAATTGTGGTTTCAAGTCGAGGACTACTTGTATGAATATCTGAAGAGATCCGCAAATTCATTTCAACTGAATATTGGGGAAAGGGAATTGCAAGTCCTGGCCTAAGGATCAACTCTTCTTTTTGCCCTCTTGATTTTCAGCTCAAGAAAAAGCAGGATAAGGATGAGTCACTGGCAGTTTAGGAAGAAGAGCTGGCTAGAATTATGGCCTGGTAAAAATGATAAGGTTGGATTATATTTCTAAAACACGCTATCTGCCATTTCATGAAGAGATTTGGCTTGAGCCTGGGGCACAGCAGAGGATTTTACAGAAATAGAATGGCAGATATGACAAATATCCTCTTGATTTCAAGGGACAGATTCAGGATATGCATCTGTTAGTTTGTTTTTTTGAAAACTTCTTTGTGGCCTAAAATGAGAAGATGAAGCAATGTGTTTTTAGATAGTTTTAGATTTAATCATATGCTTAAATATTGAATGTATTTATATTAATATGTCCATGGATGTTATATAGGTCTTTTCTGTCATCATTTCTATCTTTTCCCAACTCACATTTTATTTGCTTCAATCACCATAGTTTATTTAGACATTTTCCTTCATTCTTAATCAACATATTTGTTTTTTTCTGTTTGTTTTTTTATATCTTACTATTATCCTTTTAAAAAAAGGTTTCACACCCTTTTAAACTGGAGTTATCAGGCCATTTCAGTGATTAAATAACATATGAAGAAAGGTTTATTATGTTTGATAATATCTTACCTGGAAAGTATTTAATAGCTTTAATGTTCTCTTACTTCTTCTTTGTTCTTCATTGTCCAAATTACTTGTCTGGGGTCCCTATATCACAGATCAAAATAATGTCTTATTGATAAAATTCACCTGAATGAAGATAAAAGGCAGCATAAAAAATAGAGTAGACATAGCTCACATATAACTTCCCAAGCCTTGTCTTCCTAGTTATCATCCTCTCAAGGAAATGTGTTTGTTCTACACAACTAATTATGTAGAAACATTTGTTCTACATAACATGATTTGGCAAACCAGACCAGACAACTAAATTTGCCATGCTTTAATAAAGTTGATTAAATGTATCAGTAAAACTGTCCATACAACTATCAGAGGCGTTATTTAACTCTTTGAAACTTTATCTGATTATTTAAAGGACTTTTTAAAAAATGAAACACCTTGCAACACACAATGAGCAAAGAATAATGCAAACCAAATTCAAATCAAAAGTACAAATTAAAGTTTATTATTCTACTGATATTACCAGCTGAGCAAAAAAAAACCCATAAAAGAAAGCATCAGAAACATGAAACTCTCCAAGAAAACATACCTACAAAAGACACTTTTCCTAATGGATGAAAACTAAGTTTCCTCATGGTTGTCTCTTGGCCACGCTCCCTATGCTGCCCTTTTCATTCTCTCTCCCTGACCCACAGGGGTGTCCCATATGCACCCCTGTGCCCCCTCCCCAATCTGCACCCTTCACCTTACCCTGACCTATGCAGCACCTCTCACACATACCCGTGCACCTTTGCGCACACAGCCTGCACCTCTCTTGCGCACTCTCATACATCTTCCCCATTCCACTCCTCACTTCTTCCCACATCTAGCAGGAGTCACCTACTTGTGGACCTGGGTCATACAACTTCCTATTGGCTTCCCCACTGATTTTGGTTATGGGAAATGATCAGGAAGTTGCATTGCCTAATAGTGGGATGATAGCAAGTGGGACTTTCTGGGGAAACCAACATGGAAAATTGCAAACAGTGATCTTGCGATCACGAGGGCGCTTGGCCAACCGTTGCTGGAACAGGTTGCCAAATATCCAGATCACAATCATGTGACTGCGGAGGGATGCTGGGATGGCTAGAACTCCAAGGACCAATCTTAACCACCATTCATCTAGTGCCGTCTTTACTTCCAACGGCCACTGAATGAACGGCTGTCCATCAAGGACTAGCTGGAAGGGAAAGTTCTTTGAAAGATTTTTTCCCCGTTCAGAAAGGGGTCCGTTGTCCAGATTCAGACTGTCTCACAGGTGCTACACGGTCATTATTCGGTATTGAAGTTTAGAAGATTGTAAACATCACATTTTGCAAGGCTGCTTGCTCATTTTCGGATTCTTGTTGTACTGAAGATGATGGTAAAAGGTCACTGGACAAAGCCGACACTTCGTTAACGGATTCCTGGTGTTAAAAAAAAAAAGAGGGGGGGGGAAAATGGATCTGCGTCAGCTCTGTTTTGTTCTGCAGAAAATGAAGGGTCAACATGGAATTTATATTTCTCTGCTGAATTTTATACTCCACAAAAAAAGAATAAGAGAACAATGGAAGGTGCAAGCGGAAAACATGACATCCTACCTTTTTTGCAAACAATTCTGTGTTTCAGGCAATTCCTAATTAGAAACACAGAATATTATGACTTTTTTTTTCTGGGATCCTTCACCCCACCAAAAATTCTTTGGTATATTGAGAGTGTTGAACTGAAGCTACAAAATCCCCATTCAGCTGGATAGCTTATCACCTCACTGGATAATTTGAGATCAAACTTTATCTTTTAATCCAACCAAAGCATTAACATCATGATAAAACGTGGCTGGAAGAGCCATGGAATCATTTCTGGAGGCAAATTGGGATATAAATCCCATTTATTTGGGCATTTGTGAGTGAAATTATATAGCCCATGCTATTTATGAACTGTCTCTTTACCAAGTTTACATTTTAACCGTGGCTCATTCTTGTTATGAATTTTAACGCTGTTAAGTCATAATGAATTATACTTTGATATGGGAAAAGCTAGAAATAGATACTTTAATAAGTAAATATAAATAACCGCTCAATTAAATAAGAGTACCCAGATGAGCTTGTCATCTCTAAAAGTTAAGTAGAGAAGGATTTGGCTAATATTTGTAAAAATACTAACCAAAAAGGAGTATCAGGACTTGGAAAGTTTGAAAGGCAAAAATATATCCATCTCAACTCCTGTTCAAGAGTGTGATGGAATTTTAGACTTCTGTGATGTTAAATATTAATGTTTTAGAAAGTTTAGGAGGATTAAACTGTAATTTGTCAACTTTGTAAGTTGAAATCCAGTTTACCCATTTTGATGGAAGTACATAATGCCTAAACATATTAAAGCCTAATTTGTTCTGAAAGTACTTACCATAGTTTTTACAAATGTATTATCATCCCTTTCGTTTCTGCTACTTTGTAACACAGATTCTTTTTGGGGATAATTTGTGTCCTGCGGTATATTTAAATTTTCTGCTATTGATAGTTCTATATTGATAATAAGAGAAAGAAGTTAAATTTTTGTCCAATGTTACTTACCATTTAATTGCCATTACCAATAAATAATTATTTGCATATAATCTCATCTTATACTATTTAAGTTTTGAAATTTCCAATGTGTCCAAATTGCAGTTCACCGTATTCTAGTCAAAGGTTTAAGAATGATCACTTATGAAGTCTTTATTCCTATCATCTTTGCTAGACAGAAAATGATGAAAAACATATGCAGGAAAAACCGTAATAAAAATGTGAATGCTTTACATTTAACAACTAACACAGTGTTACCCATAAGCTAGCTTCCCACCATTCTCCTGGTACCACTTCAAGATACTTTTTGTAAAAAAAAAAGTACTTTAATTTTTCATTCTGAAATTATCCTCAGTTGTAGTTTTATATTTTTTTTTTAGGTAAACACGATCCCTCTAGCCACTTTGGGATATTTTATTCATATTGGCTCTGCAGATTTTGATTATATTCCTGTATTCCCTTAAATGCTCTTCAAACTGATCTAAACTGAAGAAAAGGTTGATGGATCCTATTTTTCTAAATATAAGCTTTATTTTGTCTTACAAATGGATGTAATTTTTTGAATTAACATAAAGATGTAACCATTGCTACAGGTAGTCCTGAACTCACTTAGAAACTGTTTGAAGTTACGATCTATCTGAAAAAGAGAACTTATGATCTGAATCCGAAATTCTGATGGTTGCCCTCCCCCCTCATGGTCATGTGTGAATACACTTTGGAAGCTTGGCAGAATATTCACATTTTTGACTTGTGACGACCCAGGGTGAGATACAAAATAAACACAGTCACAAAAAACAGGTGAAGCCCCTTTTATTCCTTCGCTTTGCTTCGAATACCCTTGACTGGAGACAAAAAAACTCCCCCACAAGCAGTTACGGAAAAGGAGGAAATGCCGTTTAAACTAAAAATGCCTATAAATTATAAAGAGTAAAAACAACACAAACCACTGAAACAATTATGGGAACCAGGCAAGATAAGGGCTTGAAGACATCCACAGATATCGGAACACACACTGGGAAGGACGCCAAACTCAAGAGAGGAACGAGGAACGACAGACTAGAGATATTTCCACACTATGTTTCCAGAACGGGCCCACACGCATGTCCTCTTATCCAGTTCTCACAGCTGCAGCCCATGAAGAGGATCAAGGCCCTCTCCTCCCCTGTAGACCACACCATGCAAGCCTCTCCCTTATCCTCTCCTCCCTGCAAGCCCTAGGATGGAGAGGGGATGGGCCTGGGTCTTCCCCTGACTGCCAGCCGGCCTCTGCCCTTCCCCAGCCTCCTCCACCACCTCTGGAGCCACACTTCCACTCCCTGTCGGCTGTTCCTCCTGTCCCACGGAGTCAGTCTCCAACAGGGGCATGACAATGAAATGTTTGCAATATCCTGCGGTCACTTGACAACATTATATGATACTTTTGTGGAAAATTGGTGCTTATTTTCATTTTTTGATAAAACCGAGCCCCCAGCAAACAATGAACTTGCAGTTATGACTGCTATGGTTGCTTAACAACTGCAAAAACGGTCACAATGAGAGAGAGAGAGAGAGAGAGAGAGAGAGAGAGAGAGAGAGAGAGAAAATCTAGATAGATAGCACAAGCACTTAGACTTATTCACTGCTTCATGGTGCTTTACAGACCTCTCTAAGCGGTTTAACAGAGTCAGCCTATTGCCCCCAACAATCTGGGTCCTCATTTTTACCCACCATGGAAGGATGGAAGGCTGAGTCAACCTTTGAGCCCTGTCAGGACCAAACATTAAATCATAATTATGATTTATGACCGTAATGGGCAGACTTCATTGCAGTCGTAACTCGAGAACCACCAACTGTGTATTTGAGGACTCTCTCCTCTAGAGACTTATTTTTTGGCTCTGGGACATTACAATCAATGCAGTACCATTCTTCATATACGTTTGAGGAGAGCGGAGGTGAGAGTGCAGATGGAAACCTTGCATTCTCTAGATGCTGTATCTGGACTGGGGAGGTTTGGGTTCAAGTCCTGCTTCATGATCCAGGTCACTGGATGATTTTAGTCAAATGTTTCTCTCTAAGCCCAACCAACCACAGTTTGCTGTGAGTATAACATTCAGGGGAACACTGGTAAACTACATTAAGATATATATATATAAAAGGTAGGCAATTACAGATAGTCCTCAACTTGCAACCATTCGTTTAGTGACTGTTTGAAATTACAACGGCACGGAAAAAAGCAACTTATGAGAGTTAGAACCATTGCAGCATCTAGCGATCATGGGATCCTCTTTAGGGACCTTCGGACAAGCAAAGTCACTGGGGAAGCCAGATTCATTTAACAGATGGGTTATTAACTTAAGTGATTCGTTAACAAGAAAGATAAAATGGAGCAAAACTCACTTAAATGTCTCACTAAGCAATGGAAATTTTGGGCAGTTGTGGTCATCAGTCGAGGACTACCTATAACCATATTAAAGAATGATAAAGAAAAAAAATCTAAAGTCTTGCCTTGGGCAGTTTGTTGTTTGCTTCTTTCTTCAGTCTTTTGTTGCCAATTTTTTCTTCTATTCTTGAGACATTTGGCAAACAGCTGCAAAAAAACCCCCCCACAAATTAACTCGAGGTAATTTGATAAGTCTTATGTTGCTTAAGCTTTTTGTTGCTACAGAAAGCTTTCTACAGCTTCTGAGCGATGTTTAATTCATAATTAAGTATAACATCTAGGTATATAGCTGTCAAGCTATTTCAAATGTGAGCCTTCGCGTAAACTGTAATCTGTTTTTTAATCTTGCCAAGAAGCTCTTTATTGCTCTACAAAGTGATCCCTGTGTTCAGCCGGATCAATTTAGAAACAGTTTTGCCCCGGGAATCTATCAATTAGGTTTCATTATAGTTGCTGCTGGACTATAACCATTGACTACGCTGGAAAAAGCATGTCATGTGCCAAGACTATACTGAAACAGGAAGGAAAAAAAATAGCCAATCATCTCCTGGCACGTGAACATGGTATCGTTTTGAAAAAGGACTATACAGGTAGACCTTGACTCACAACAGTTCGTTTAGTGACCATCTGAAATTACAAAGGCACTGAAAAAATTGACTGAAGATCCTTTTTCATACTTATGACTGTTGCAGCTCATGTTTGTGACGGTTGCAGTCTTCCGGGGTCATGTGGTCACATTTTGCGACCTTCTGACAAGCAAAGTCAATGGGGAAGCCAGATTCACTTAACAACCACGTGACTAACTTAACCATTGCAGTGATTCACTTAACGATAGCAAGAAGGGTCATAAAATGGGGTAAAAATTCACAAGAGCTGCCTTGCTTAGCAACATAAATTTTGGACCCAAGTTTTGTCGTTATGTTGAGGACTACCTGTATTTTAATTGTACAGAGTAGCACCCTCCAAAAAGGTGAAGGGAGGGAAGGAGGATGGGAGGGAGGGAGGAAGAATGAGAAAGACTGAGAGAGAAGGGGGTGGGAGGAAGGAAGGATAAAAGAAAGGAAGGAAAGAAAGAAGGAAATAAAAGATACAATTCCCTAGTCAACGTCTTAAAATTGCCATGTTTGGAGACCCCTGAAATAGACATCAATTTCTAGAAGCAGAGGCCCAATATTTGGCAGTACTTCAAGGACATAAAAACAGTGGTGTATAACATTAAAGGCCTGTGTCATTTTTCCACAGTATCTAATTAAATGCCCAGGAAATCCCACAAGTAAGCCTTAAGAAGTCTTAATTTTGACTCCCCTGTAACTGAAAGGTCAGTTTGATGTAGCAATTAAGGCATCAGGCTAAAAACTGGGTGACTCTTGAGTTGTAGTCCTGCCTTAGACATAAAGCCAGCTGGGTGATCTTGGGCCAGTCCCTTTCTTTCAGCCCTAGGAAGAAGGCAATGGCAAACTACGTTTGAAAAACGTTTCCAAAAAACCCGCAGGAACTAGTTCAGGCAGTCACCAGGAGTCAAAAACAGTGTTGAGGCACAAAAGAACCAGATAGCCATCATTATGAAAAACCCTTCATCCGGTCTTCACCTGCCCTCCACCCATCATTTAAATCTATGAAACCACCTAGGATGGTGAAGGCTTACACACGCCTGCTTTGTGTTATATAGCAACAATGCAAATAACATATGAGGCCCTAAATTGTTTACCCTCTGCAGATCTGTGCTAAAGCAAGGCTGGGTGGGTCTGGTCATAAGTTTGTCTGCGCTGCCCAACTCTTGTAAAATCATCAGCTTCTTGGTTGGAGGTGCGATCTTCAAGGGGGCTAGCGTATCCTTGTAATTTGTAAGCTGCTTTTGCATGGTAGCTTTGCTGAGCTGCTTCACCGGGTCAACGAGTAACTTTCTTTTCCTTTTCCTTTTTCGTTTCTTTTGAACTACATACAAGAGACATACACAAAGGACACATTACATACCAACCAGAGAGTGCTGAGCAGATAATAATCCCATCATACTAATCCATATTTATGTTTGCAGGCCTAATGAAATGTTGGCATTACAAAGAACCTTCCACTTTGGTTTTTACATAGGTATACATATATACATACACATATTTATTTTGTTCAAGACAAGGTTAAAATACAAAACTCCCAACCCCCCCGCCCCCAAAATAAGTGGTTGAGGGGCAGGCACTGATCTAGACCTCTCTGGTAGGTTCAGAGCTGGGCATAAGGGACCGGTTCCATGGAGAGAGGTTTTTCCATGCTCCGGAGGGGGCGTAGCTTTGTGTGCTGCCTGTAGATGGGGCTTTGCTCGTTTGCGCAGCGCGGTTTCTGGCATGCCGTGGCTTGGTGCCAGTCCATGGACTGGGGCTTGGGGACTCCAGAGGTAAACCACACTGGTCACTTGGGGTCGAGCTTAAATGGAGGTAGTGAGACTATTCTTATCTTCCTTCCATTTCCAGTTTCTCAACAGAGTAAGCTTTTGGGTTTCCTGCAAAGGTTGGGAGTTGGGCAAGGTGCTACAGTGTTCTGTAGTGGGCAAGTCCAGGTGGTAGCATTTTAATTAGTGTAGAGGTGTATGGTTCTGACCCAAACCTTGTTCCAAGGAAACAAACACGAAACAGAGGTAACAGCACAACCTTTTAATGATTCTTTACAAATCCCGTTCCTTCACGGGTAAAAGGCTGCTTCAAACCAATTAGCTCCGATATGAAAGAGCCTTGCCAAGATTGTGCAAGGCTGCCAAGAATACTAGATAAAGTTACTAAGAAATATTTCAAACACAGAGAGTCTCCAAACAAGATACTCCGAATGTATTTTTTTTTAAGTATTTATTTGATTTGTCAATCGCTTACAAGATACAGGTATGAGAATAAATATAGTTTTGAATACATGAGAAAGATATTCATAAGAAAAATAAAAGAAACAATAGGACAGGGATGGTAGGCACGTTGGTGCGCTTATGCACGCCCCCTACAGACCTCTTAGGAAGGGGGTGAGGTCAATAGTAGACAGTCTAAGGTTAAAGTTTTGGGGTTTGGGGAAGAAACCACAAAGTCAGTTAGAGTATTCCAGACATTGACTCCTCTGTTGCTGAAGTCGTATTTCCTGCAATCAAGTTTTGTATGGTTTACCTTGAGTTTGTATCTATTGTGAGCTCTTGTATTGTTATGATTAAAGCTGAAGTATTCATTTGCAGGTAGGACATTGCAATGAATGATTTTATATACTATATTTAGATTGGACCGGAGGTGGTGTAGTTCTAGATTTTCTAGGTCTAGAGTTTCAAGTCTGGTGGCATAAGGTATTCTACAATGAGTAGAGGAGCGGAGAACTCTTCTTGTGAAATACTTCTGGACTTTCTCAGCTGTGTTAATATCAGATACGTAATGTGGGTTCCAGATTGATGAGCTGTATTCAAGTATAGGTCTAGCAAATGTTTTGTATGCTCTAGTTAGTAGCGTGATATTACCAGAGAAGAAGCTACGTAGGATTAGATTAACAACTCTTAAAGCCTTTTTGGCTACGTAGTTACAGTGGGCTTTAGCACTTAGGTCATTTGAGATGAGTACTCCAAGATCCTTGACAAAGTTTAGATCCTCAACAAGGTCTTGACTATTTAGCTAGTATTTTATTTTCTGATTTTTTTCTGCCAATATGTAAGACAGAGCATTTATTTGTTGAGATTTGAAGTTGCCATTTGTTTGACCATTCTGATACACAGTCAAGGTCTTTTTGGAGGGTAACAGTATTGTCTGTGGTATTGAACAGCTTTACATCATCAGCGAAGAGAACGCAGTTGCTCTTGATATGATCACAGAGGTCATTTATGTAGCGTATGAAGAGAGTTGGTCCTAAAACACTGCCTTGGGGGAACGTCCACAAGGAATGAATGCAAAATCTTCTTTGCTTCCTGCAAAGAACTCCCGTTTCTCAGCTGGCTTTTATCTTCTCAGGGAGGGGCCATTACCTTGCAGCCTTACTCCCGAGTCGCCCATGCTGCTGCAGCTTCTCTTTCCTTCGAGCAGCCCTGCATGCATGCGCACTCCTCGGGGGCCTCTTCCTCACTGCTGCCAGCCTCCACCATCTCCGAAGCATTCCACTTCCCGATGGCCCTGGCCGCATCCTTTCATCACATGCAGACCCCTCATCTGAGTCCTCGCTCTCCGAGACCTCAGCCATCCACAGCTGCTGCCGGCAAACCACAACAGGTATATATACAAGTTGTCCTCGATTTACAATCATTCATTTAGTGACCATTCAAAATTAACTGGCAGAGAAAAAAACGATTTATGACTGTTTTTGACATGACTGTTGCACAGGGGTGGGATTCAACTGGTGTTACTACTGGTTCGGTGACTATGTTTTGCGCGCGCACATGTAAAAAAACCATCAGCTATACCACCCGGACAGCTGAAAAGCGCAGCGTTTGAAAAACCTCTTTTTTCCTGCTTTTTCAACCTCATCTGTGCTGCTCAAAGCAGCTGAGGTTGAAAAAGCAGGAAATAAAGGACAGGTAAGAGCCCAGGCTGGTGGGTAGGCCAAACAGCAGCAAACACAGAACCAGTTCGTTGTCTGCTGCTCTTCAGAGCTACCGGTTCTATAGAGCCGGCAGAACCGGTAGCATCCCACCCCTATTGTTGCAGCATCCCCATGACCCCCGTGATCAAAATTCAGATGCTTGGCAATTGATTCATATTTACGATGACTGTAATGTCCCAATGTCGGGTGATCGCATTTCGCGATCTTCTGACCGGCGAAGTCAATAGGGAAGCCAGATTCACTTAACAACCATGTTACTCACTTAACAACTGCAGTGATTTGTGTAACAACTGTGGCAAGAAAGGTCATAACATAGGGCAAAACTCACTTAACAACTGCGTTGGCTTAGCAAGGAAAAGTTTGGGCTAAATTGTGGTCATAATTTGAGGACTACCTGTAGATGAATTCCTATAGGAGGAATTCAACAGCCATTACATAAGCACCAACTGAGCTGTTAAAGGGAAAAGGGAGAAGGAAAGAAACTCAAGATTGCTCTGCCTTACATCTCTTTGCTATAAGGTCCCAAAGGTGCTTTTTTTACCCAAGAGGCAAATGGACTTTCTGTTTTTTTCTTTCTTTCTTTGAAGACGTTTCGCTTTTCATCCAAGAAGCTTCTTGGATGGTGGTAGGGAATGGAAGGATTTATACTCCTTGCATTGTGTCTCCAAATAAAACAGCCCTCTCTCAACCAAGGGGGAGGGATACGACAGAATCTATCTCCGGTCTACAACACGGTCCTTTCAGCAGTTCCAAGAAGGCTCCACACCCATTTGCACCACTCAGGTGATCCTGAGGACACAGAGATAAACCTCCTGGTGGTCTCAACCGCTCTCTAAAAAGGATTCAAATGACCAGCTGTCTGTATGGAATATACTGGTAAATCCATCCATTTCCCAGCACCCAGTCAGAGCTGCAGGGGCTTCTTTGATGAGAAGCGAAACGTCTTCAAAGAAAAACCAGAAAGTCCAGTTGCCTCTTAAAAAAACACCTTTGGGAGAACCAGGACCTGTATTACATAGACACTTTGGTATAAGGTGTTAGGGGTTGATGAAGGAGATAGAATGTCTGTCAGGTTTTCAAGGTTCTGATATGCTTTTTAACAATAAAATAGATTCCCAGTAAACTCTCGTATCTGTTTCTTCAGCTGGCTTACTTTAGGAGCTGAAAACTGAAGGATTAGATTTAGATTTACTAATGTAATTAATTATATTTTATTCTGAACTGTGTTTTGTATGTAAGTTCTGTAAGCTGCTTAGAAGTTGGTTTCAGGCAGCAGGCAAATCCTATGAATAAATAAACGAATGAATGAATATAATCTAACAAGGACAATCCTTTTTAGAAAATAAAGAAGACTAAGAAGAGATGACCACTTCTGTTGAAAAAAAATGTTTCCAGTGAAATGCTTTTCTGGATTTGTCATCTATACATATAAAAGTAAAATACCCCTCATGCATCATCACAAAGTCTCCAGAACTGTAAAACCTACAAACTTGAAATTTGGCACGTTATGTTCCTCTTGGCTTGTAGGTGCTCACTAAGAAAGGATTTTTCGAAATGACCATCAGAACATCAGTATTTCCTATATTATTATTATTATTATTATTATTATTATTATTATTATTATTATGCTCTGATGTTAAAGAGTTCTACTCCCCCTCCCCACCTGAAAAGAAATCTCTTCCAAAACACAAGCAGAGGAGTTTCAGTTTTCGATTCACAGCAGCAACCAGCTTTAGTACAGAACAGTTGAGCTAAGCCACGCCCAGGCTCCTTGTTGTCTCCTTCTTGCTTACATAGCAAATACTGTTTCAGTTTCCAAACAGCCCTCAACTCCCTCACACACTGACAGGATGCTAGCTAGATTAATACCTATGGATGCTGGTAGGCAAAATTTCCCCCCACCCCTTATTTTCCTCCCCCAAAACTAAGCCTGACCACATAGTTTTATAACAAAGCATTGGGTATCGAGCTAGTCACTTTTATATTTCATTTTTATTCAAGACAGAAACAAACAATTCTAACCTGGATTAACAATAGGATAAGGAACGAAGCCGTCTTCCTCACTGAACAATGTTTCATTACGTTGGTGATTTCTTGTTTCATGTTTACATACAGCCTGGTCTGGATCAAAAGTAGTTCCTGCTGATTTAGACAATCACAGAGTTAAGAGTGTTATTTAGGTCACTGAGCCCAATTTCTGCTCAGCGAATAATTTTAGTGGAGCTCACCTTAAGGTTAAGCCTGTTTGGGAGTTAATAACTTAAACATGTCGCAGAGATATTTTCTTGACTCAAGACTAAAAGAATGGAATAAATTATATCTGTATTTTTTTGTCTGTCTGTCCGTCTATCTATCTTCATCAATCTCTATAATCTACTTTTTTTCTAGTTCTGTCTATCAATCATGTCAATTGTCTATCATCTGTCTATTTTCTGCTGAATTATTTTTATCTATCTATCTATCTATCTATCTATCTATCTATCTATCTATCTATCTATCTATCATCTATCTATCTATCCACCCACCCATCTATATTTTCTGCTCAATCATTCTCTCTTTCTTTCTCTTCATCATCAATCACTATCTCTAATCTATTGTGTTTTTTGAATCTGTCTGTCAAACATTTCTCTTGTCTGTGTATCACACAGGTGTCAAACTCACCCTGTCACATGACATATTGCAACATTTTCTCCCTTTACGGAGCTGGGGTGGGTGTGGCCTGTACGTGACACATCTGGCCCGTAGGCCACCAGTTTGACACTCCTGGTCTATCATCTACCTACCTACCTGTCTGTCTATCTATCTTCTGCTCTATCTATCTATCTATCTATCTATCTATCTATCTTTCTTTCTTTCTTCCTTCCTACCTACCTACCTACCTACCATCTATCTATGTCATTTTCTCTCTCCCATCTGTATCATCTATCATGTTTTTCTCCTTTGTCTCTGCCTCTTTCTCACATAATTGCCCATCTCAAAAGCAATGACTGGGTAGTGTATAATTTTTTGGCTAAGAGCATGTCCTTTTCCACAGCAGTAACCACGTTGTGGAGATTCCTATGGAAATGTGTGTGACTTCACATACAAATCTTGGGCCTTGAAACCTGAGTTATTTAAGTTGGAGTCAATATTATTAAAATGTTGCTGCCTTATGTTTTTCAGACATTCTGTTGCTCTGTGTTTTGATTCTGGATTACACCTGCTTTATTGCAAATCAGTTTTAAAGCCTTAGGATGAAAAAGTGACCTATAACAAAAGCAAATCTTTTGTTAAAAAAATCAGCAATTTTGTACTAGGGTTTTTATTTGAAGAACTTCAAAGGGACTTTAAGAAAAAAACACTTGCATGAATCTTTTGAATTAGAACTAATGAAGAAATATGACTGCATCTATTCAGGGCTGAATTACAATGTTTAATTTTATTTATTGGTTTATGATGATCATGTTTTATTTAATTATTGTTGACATGAATAGCTGATTTTCTTATTGTTAAGAAAAAATGTCATACAGAAAATTGCCACATAAAGTTGGGCTTTTTTTTGCTTTTCACTTATTCTGCTCTTATTTATTATCAAGGGTTTTTTTTTCCCCTTGTACCAATTTATAAGTAAAAATAACAACTTACACTTATATGCAAGCTGATTCTATGACAGCTAATGCCATAATAAATACACCTAACATTAAAAGACAATAAACCACAGCACTGTATTTACAATTACAAATTAATACTGTACAGCTATCTTAGAAGTTTAACTTCTAAAAGCATCAGTCACACTAGTAAAACAGTTTAAAGTAAAGTAGCTATAAACTCACCTTTTCTGTTATCAACTGGATCTTTGGGGGGTAAAGGAAGTTCCTCTTCCATGTCAAATATTGCAAGGAGGCCATTCTGGTCAGTTCCAAGAATATCATCTTAAGAAAATCATTATGGTATATAAAGTTTAAAAAAAACCCACTTTTTATGTACATAACTATATATTTTATGTAGGTAGTCCTCAACTTACAACCATTTGTTTAGTGACTGTTTGAAGTTACAATGGCACTGAAAAAAAACCCATTTATGACCGGTTCTGGCACTTTTACTGTATAACTGTGGCAGCATTCCCATGGTCACCTAATCAAAATTCGGGCACTTGGCATGTGTTTATGACAGTTGCACTATCTGAAGCCATGTGATCAACGTTTGTGACCTTCCCAGTTGGCTTCTGACAAGCAAAGTCAATGGGGGAAGCCAGATTTGCTTAACGACCACACAATTCACTTAGCATCTGCAGTGATTCGCTTAACAACCATGGGAAAAGGACATAAAATGGAGCACCACTCATTTACCAACTGCCTTGCTTAGCAACAGAAATGTGGGGCTCAGTTGTGGTTGTAAGTAGAGGACTATGTAGAAAAAAGCAAATACTAGAACATAAAAGTTACTAAACTTTTTGGGTAAGTTATGCACATTTTAGCAAATCTATTGGACAGCTATAGTTAGACTGGATTTTGTTCATACCTACCAATCATATCTCTTCCAGCTTCTTCGTCTCCAAATCCATCATACTCTAATGCAATTTTGCCTCCAGTTAAATTCGAAGAACTGTGGTCAGCCAGGAGACTATTCGAGCTATTTATTAAACTGTCACTGAAAAAGCTAGCATGCCTTGGAATTTCAATTTCTTCAACTGTGAGAAATATAGATGAATAACTCAGCTATGTTTATATATCTTGGAGATATAATACTTTGCAGCGAGTTAAAAATCAGTTGCTAATAAATATTGAATCCAGAATGCAATTTTTGAAAATAAAATAAAAACCTTTTGTATTTTGATTTATGAGGGGAAAAAGTTGCAGCCTTACCAAAATTGCTGCCATTGAGAACATTCTGCCCATAAAATTCTGTCAGTGTGATGTCCTCAATTTTGCTCTGGTGCAGTGTAAAATGTTGGGCGACCTCAATGGCACTATTAGAAAAGAAGAAAAAACAGAAGTTTTAGGAAATGCTGCAAAACTGAACCGTTAACTTCCTAATTCACAAAACATATCCATATAATATTTTAATATATTTGATTCTAATTAAATTGCACTTCCATCGCCTTTCGCTTATTACTCCATAATGGGATTAAGAAATGGTTAGTAGCACAGATTCAGCAACAAAAGCTGCTTCAGTTGCTACATTCATCTATCTTTATCCCCCAAATACACTTCAAGAATTAAAAACTAACAATGTGCAGGTAGTCCTCAATGTCAGGTTTCCAAGTGATGAGATCCATTTAAAAAGAAAAGAACAAAGTCCATCTTCCAAGACAAATTCAAGCCCGAAATTGACACTCGACTTATGACCATAATTGAGCCCAACATTTCTGTTGCTAAGTGAGACATTTGTTAAGTGAGTTTTGCCCCATTTAACCACCTTTCTGGCTGTTGTTGTTAAAAGAATGTTAAGTCAATCACTGCAGTGATTAAGATTAGTAACAGGGTTGTTACGTGAATATGGCTTCCCCATTGACTTTGCTTGTCAGAAGGGGATTAGGGACAGGGCAACCGTCCTAAGGACGTGCCAGTTTCCAAGTGCCTGAATTTTGATCATGTGACCACGGGGATGCTAGTACGGTTGTATGTGTGAAAAATGGTCATAAATCCCTTTTTCAATGCTTTTGTAACTTCAAACGGTCACTAAATGAACTGTTGTAAATCAAGGACTACCTGTATTGTATCAGTTTATCATTATCATAAAAACATTAATCTGGACTGTGAAAAAAGTTTAAGAAAGCGCAATTAATCCTCATGAAGGAAATCCTTAGAAAATAGTGCTCTGTGCTCTTCAGAACTACGGTAAATCTAGCCTGGGTAAGTGGACTGAACACAGAGAAGTGATCCCTTACAATCCAGTTATAACTATTAAGAAAATAGAGTGGTTTGATATTAAGGATGCTGAGAGGGAGGGAAATGAGAACAGAATGGAAAATGACACTGAGAAAAGCTGTGTTAAAGTGATAGATGAAAAGAGAATTCACTCCCTTTTCACTTGTTCTATTCTTAGCAATAAACAAATGTTGGAAAGTATTTACTTCATGTCTGGAAGTTGGGTATCAAAATCATGAAACACTTCAGGCAGTGTGATAGCATCATACATTGCCTCAGAATGTCCTTTCGGAAGGTCAACAAGCCCTAAAGAAAAATATAGAATATAAGTAACTGTGGGATGAAGTAGCTTTATATATCCAGCGAGATAAAAATGTATTTTGAGGGCATCCAGCAAGTGTGTTCACATTCTTTAAATTTTCACCTAGTAGTCATTAATTAGATGGCAGAAAATATTTGTCAACTGAATAATGACACAATTACAAAAACATTCTGCTGCTAGTGCAATTCTAGGCATGACTATTCAAAAATAAGCCCCATTGTAGTCTTTGGAATTTACTTCTACTTTGGTTTTCTAGAATTGCAATCTCTACATGAAGCGATAGCTTATGATCCACTACTTGTCTGAAATGGTATAGGATCTCCCTCTTGAGCAGGGGGGTTGGACTAAATCTCCTGGGTCCCTTCCAGATTCATTCTGATTCTGATCTTGAGATGGCCTTCCAAGAATCATCTCATGAATCCTGAATCCTTGCGAACCACTTGTTTCATTTTCAAAAGTTAAAGCCATTTCTTTACCATTAATAAGCTTCTTGTTAATAATAAGTAGGGGAAAAGCATACCTGGTTGAAAAGTTGATTGCATTTTAAGTAGGGCTTCATTGCAATCTGTCAAAAGATACTTGGTTTTTCTGTGATAGATCTTCACCACTCCTAGCAAAAGATGTCCCGAGGTACGAAGAGCAATTTTAAACTGGGGGAGGAGGGGGTGGGAAAGTTGGCATTAACAGGAAAGATCGCAACAGAATTAAGAGTCATTATCCTGGTTCTCATTTTTCTTAAAACCCATCTAAGAGAGTAGCTAAAGGTATCCAAATGGGACATAGGGCATCCCTTTCAGGAAATACTGGGTTAATTTTGCTGTGTTTAGACATGAAAGCCAACTGAGTGACTTTGGGCAATTCACCAGGAGACTGGGAGTCCTAGTCCTGCCTTAGGCGTGAAAGTCAGGTGGGTGACTGTAGGCCAATTATTCTCTCAGCCCACCTCACAGGGTTGTTGTTGTTGTGGGGAAAATAGGAATATTAGGAATGTTTGCTGCCTTGAATTACTTATAATAAAGGCAGGATAAAAATTAAATAATTAAAAATGGCTCTATTTGCAGAAGTAATTTAGAGCAATGAGTCCAAGCTCTTGTTTAGTACAGGAACCCAATTGAACACATCCGTAACAGTTGGCTATCTGGTCTGGATATATATCTAGTGAAAATATGTTCACCATCACTCTGGATAATTGGTTCTACCACTGAACTGCTCCTATTGTTAGGAACTGTTTCTTGATCATAAGCTAGAATCTGCCTTCCTGTAACTTAAAAACCTTAATCTGTATTTTATATACTGAGGTGATAGAGAGCTTGACTTTCTTTGGTGTGACAACCCTTTTTAGGTTGTTTTTTTTTGCAAGATTAAACATATCCAGATCCTCAAGGTCTTGCTGCAGAACTTAATTTACAATGCCACACCCAGTGTTGAGTAAAATTAGGGGACCTTATTTTTGGTGACGTTTTATGAAAGCCATACCTTAGGGGAGAGTATCTTTTCAATGGTATCTTCTAAATTGCATTCAAATATATGAGCTTTTGTGACTTTCTTATCCCAGTGAGCAGCCAGCCATATCTTGGACAAAGGCCCACGCTTATTCATAAGCAGCTGCATGTAGAACATTTTGCCAGAAATGTGTTTCTTAACTTGGCAAGCTAGAGGGAAGAAAATAGTTTAAATATTGAATACAACATTTTTTTGTAATTTTTCAAAGCTAAAATGAAAAATAGTAATCAATTTCAAATAAATGATTTGCAAAAAAGAGAAAACTCTTTAATATATAGTTCTGTTTTCATGCTTGCAGGTTGTTTTAAACAAATGCATTATTTGTATACAATCTAAGTAACTGCTTAAATACTAAGGCTACTTGCAATTAGGATACATCAACTGTATATATTATCATGAATTTGTCTTCATACAACATTTATGTACTGAAGCAGTTTCCAAATCAAACTAATAACATCATTACTGAAATACATAATTAATTTTGGCAAAGTGAATATATTGAAACAATGTTGTTTTCCTTGTTTCTGTTGCAAAAAATAAGAAAATTATTGTTTTCTCAGTGAATTTTAGTCTTTTTGAAAGATATGAAAAAGTCCAATTTTATTCATGTGGCAGTAAGAAGTAAGCAAGGAACTACAACAATCAAACATATTAGGAACTACCAGAGGACTGGAAAAGAGCTGATGTGGTTCCCTTCTTCAAAAAGGGAAATAAAAACAGACCCAGGAAACTATATAGACCAATCAGCCTAACATCAATACCTAGGAAGATACTGGAAAAGATAATAAAAAAACAGATCTGCCAAAATCTAGAAACAAGTAAAGTAATAACTAGCAGTCACCATGGGTTTGTTAAAAACAGATTATGCCAAACCAATCTTATTTCATTCTAAATTAGTGACTAAATTAGTAGACTAGCAAAATACTGTGGACATAATATATTTAGATTTCAGCAAGGCATTCAACAAAGTAGAACAAAACTGTTCTGTATGGACATTTACATTCTTGAAATCCGGCAACCCGGATTGGTCAAGCGCGCAGACACCGGATTGGTCGAGCGCGCGGCACTGATTGGCCGCTCGGAATCGACCGCAATTGGCCGAGCCGATCACGGGTGATTCGAACGGCTGTCATTGGCCGCAGCGCCCGGCACCAGATCCATATAAGCCGTGGCTTCACCCAGCCGCACTTCACTTGTTTAATCCTTAAAAAACCTACTTCTTGGTAACCTAGAAAAACCACCTCCACAAGATGGATCTGCAACTGGCTGACAAACAGTACTCAACGAGTAATCCTTAATGGGTCTAAGTCTAAATGGAGGGAAGTAAGCAGTGGGTGCCACAAGGTTATGTCTTAGGCCTAGGACTCTTCAATATCTTCATGAACGACTGAGATGAGGGAATAGAAGGGGAACTTACCAAATTTGCAGATGATACTAAGCTGGCAGGAATAGCTAACACCCAAGAAGATAAGCTCAAGATCCAGATGGATCTTGACAGATTAGAACACTAGGCCATATCTAGTAAAATGAAATTTTAGGCAAGAAAAACCAAAAGTACAACATATAGACTGGGGGAAACCAGGCTCAACAGCAGGAACTGGGAGAGGGATCTTGGAGTCTTCATGGACAACCAGCTAAATGTGAGCCAGCAGTGTGCAGCAGCCGCTAAAAAAGCTAATGCAATCCTAAGTTGCATTAACAGAGGGACACAATCGAGATCAAGGGAGGTACTAATACCACTCTATTAAACCTTAGTAAGACCACACCCAGAGTACTGCATCCAGTTTTGGTCACCACATTATAAAAAAGATGTTGAGACTAGAAAAAGTAGAGAAGAGCAACCAGGATGATGAGGGGACTGGAGGCTAAAACATACAACAAACGGTTGCAGGAACTGGGCTTGGCTAGTCTAGTGAAGAGAAGGACCAGGGGAAACAGGATAGAGGTCTTCCAATATTTGAGGGGCTGTCATAGAGAGGAAGAAGGGGGTCAAGCTATTTTCTAAAGCTCCTGTAGGCCAGACAAGGAATAATGGATGGAAACTGAACAAGGAGAGCTTTAACCTGGAAACAAGGAGAAACTTTCTGACAGTGAGAACAATCAACCAATGGAACAGCTTGCTCTTGGAAGTTGTGGAAGCGCCATCAGTTGAGACTTTCACGAAGAGATTGGACTGCCATTTGTCAGAAATGGTGTAGGGTCTCCCGCTTGGGCGGGGGGTTGGACTAGATGACCTACAAGGTCCCTTCCAACTCTGATTATCTGTATCTGTATCTGTGTCTATCTATTGTGGGAGCGTCATTACTTGAGACTTTCAATAAGAGATTGGACTGCCCATCTGTCAGAAATGATGTAGGGTCTCCCGCTTGGGTGAGGGGTTGGACTAGATGATCTATAAGGTCCTTTCCAACTCTGATTATCTGTTATTATCTGGTGTTCAAACATTTGGTTGTAGAAACCACGAAGAAAATATGCACAAGAAATGAAATATGATGGGACTTCTGGGAGAGGTTTTTTTAAAAAAATAATCTTAAAGGTAGATGTAAAAATAGTTTGGGATGCAAGTGAGGGGTTACCTTATAGAACATACAAGTGAATTCAAAAAGAAGAACTACCTATTTTGGGTGAGATAAAAAGAAAAGAGTTAAAGAAATTTATAGAGAAGATAATTTTTTTTCAACATATTAAGCTTCTTACAGCACTTTTCTACAGGAAAAGTTGGAGCTTAGTTGATAATTGTTTAAGATGGCTGAATCAAGAGATGGTCTGAGTAAAAGCACCATAACATTTTTCAAAGACCAGGTTTGTTAAAGGGCTGTTCCTTAGTCCGTGGTCCTTGTTAATAATTTAAATATATTTGCATAAAAGACTACCAAAACTTCCAATAAGAACTGAGCTTCTGGTGAGGCTTCAAGGCCAACAAGATATCCCCAGAGGAGTGGAGACGGCATTGCAGTGGACATTGGTGAATTCTGGCTAGCAAATTCTCTCTGGAAATAGGAGATATTAGGAGATTGCTCACTTCTACTCTGGACAGTTGCTCCTTGTTGTTTTGTTGCCAAATTGTGTCCAACTCTCGCAACCGCATGCACAGCATGGCAGGTTCTCTTGTCCTCCATTGTCCCCTGGCATTTGCTCAAATTCGTGTTCATTCATGACTCTATCTAACCATCTCCTCCCCTGCCATCCCCTTCTCCTTTTGCCTTCCATCTTTTTCAACATCAGGGTCCAATGAATCCTCTCTTCTCATTTGGTGGCCAAAGTATTTGGGCTTCAGCTTCAATATCTGTCCTTCCAAATAACAGATAGGGTTGAATTATTTTCGGATTGACTGATTTATTCTCCTTGCAGTCCAAGGGACTCTCAAGAGTCTTTTCCAGAACCACAATTCAGAATCATCAATCCTTCGGTGCTCAGCCTTCCTTATCGTCCAGCTCTCTTGGTCACACATTACTACTGGGAAAACCACAGCTTTGACTATACTGACCTTTGTCGGCAAGGCGATGCCTTTGTTTTTTAATATGCTGTCTAGGTTTGCTGTAGCTTTCCTCCAAAGGAGCAAGCCTCTTTAAATTTCACGGCTGCAGTTGCTGTCCGCAGTGATCTTGAAGCACAAAAAAATAAAATCTGCCACTGCTTCCATTTCTTCTTTTTCTATTTGCCAGGAAATGATGGGACCAGATGCCATCTTAGTTTGTTTTTTTTTAATGTGGAATTTCAAGCCAACTTTTGCAGTCTCGTTTTTCACTGTCAAGAGGCTCTTTAGTTCTTCTTCACTTTCTGCCATTAAAATGGTATCATCCAAGTAAGTTGTTGATATTTCTCCTAGCAATCTTAATTTCGGTTTATAATTCATCCAGCCTGGCATTTTGCATGATGTACTACTCCACGTATAAGTTAAATAAGGGTGATGATTTGAGTGATTTACTATGTGGTGTTAACCATATGCCTAAATATTTGACCTTTTTTGTTGCCTGTATCCCCATGGTTTTTTCTAATTCTTTCCTCTGGTTCTCTGTTAGATTTTTAGTCAGTAATTTCGTCTTATTTCTGTTAATCTTTAATCCTGCTACTGAACCATATTGTTCTAGTTCTTTTATTAGATTATGTCCTTTTTCCATGGGATCCTCTAGGAAGAAAACCATATCGTCTGCAAACGCCTGTAATTTATATTCCTCTGCTTTGACCCTAACCCCTTGGATTTCAGGATTTTGTCTTATCCGCGTTAACAATGATTCTAAAGCAAATATAAATAAGAGGGGTGAGAGAGGGCAACCCTGTCTAACGCCCTTTTCAATGCTTAGTGGGCCTGTTTGTTCACCATTAATTAGTATATTGGCTTGTTGGGTATTGTAAATTGTTGTGATAATATTCTTGAATTTAGTGCCCAGATTCATATTATAGATTTTTTGTATTAAAAAGTGCCAATGTAAGTTATCGAATGCTTTCTCTGCATCTAGAAACAAGAGTGTAAATTGTTTCTCTGGATGAGCTTCATAATATTCTAAGACGTCAATAACGGTTCTTAAATTGTTTTTAATTTGGCGGAATGGAAGGAAGCCATTTTGGTCTTCATGAATGTATAAATTTAAAACTTGTTTTACTCTATTCGCAATAATTGAGGTAAATAATTTATAATCGGCGTTTAAAAGTGAGATTGGTCTATAATTGTTGATATATCTGGCATCCACATCCTCCTTCGGAATTAACGCAATCAACGCCTCTGTTGGGTATATGGATACACCAACCAGGTTTGGGTTGAATAAATATGTAAACCTAGGATTAAGTGTCTATGTAGCTTTAAACAAGAAACTGCAATGTCATTGTGGGTGCGGTTGCAGGCAGTAATAAAGGTAGGAAGGGAAACGTAATAGACCCTGCTTCTGGATGCACCTGGTTCTGTTCCTGGTCTGCTGCCTGCTGGAACGTCTATCTGCTTACTTTTGGAGGCTACTGTGCCAGATACCATTTCACCTGAACACAAGGACTGTTTGCCTGGTGAGCTGTGGATTCAGCGTTGTCTTTGAGAGAAAGGTATCAGGAGGAGAAGATTTACAAGCAGATAAAGACATTGTATTTACTGTTAATGGACTTGATAACTGGATGGATATACTGGA